TTTCTCCTTCTATATTTTGTCTGGTAGTCGTTCCCGTGTTTAAATTTAGATTTAATTTATATCAAATGGAAAAAAGAAAAAGGGGAGAGTTTGTATCCTCACTTCCCAGCGACTCCCTTTCATCAAAATGATATATAAGTTATCCAGATAACATTGGAATCATTCTCTTGTTCAAATTTAAATTTAATTTATATCAAAGAGGAAAAAATCACTGGAGGGGACTGTGCCCCCGAAGACCCCCTTTAATCAAAATGGATTATACTTATCCAAGTAGCCTGGGTAATGCAATTTCAGAATAAATATGGTTATGGGGTGTCTATTTCCAAAACCCTAGGAGGGCTTCGATAACAAATAAACAGACATAGAGAGGCTGCATCTTCATATATATATATATATATATATATATATATATATATATATATGTGTGTGTGTGTGTGTGTGTGTGTGTGTGTGTGTGTGTGTGTGTGTGTGTGTGTATTATATTATATTTGAACATTAGAATGATGATTTTGGGTAGTATATACTTAATTTACCTATCTACTGGCTGATGTGTAAGTCCAAAAGATCTTGGCGCTAAATTCACAACTTTGTTCCAATCTCTTCACTGTTATCCAGGTAAATGAACGGATAGTATAATTTTCCAAAAAATTCGAAGAACTCTACTAGCAGGAAAGGTTCAGTGACATAAAAAAAATTATGACGTGATCGTAACTTAGATTCGTTTGGAAATAAAAGAATCAAAACATGATAAAAAAGTGTATGTACACGGATCTCAGTTATAGCAATAAAAAGGGAAGATGGCTGCCTTCTAAAATGTAAGGTTAGAAAATATTCAAAAAATGTCTAACAGCATTTTTTTAATAAACAGTCAGATCAAAATTCTGAGATCGGTGTTGAATATACTACGTATGGTAAGAAGGTCAGTGGCGATATCAGTTTAAATACCGTAGCTTAATGATTCAAATAATGTAAATTCAGACAGAAAATGCCACTGCATGTGCTTTCTTTCGCGTTTGTGTTTCTACGTCTTATTTTTGTCTGAAAGAATTTAGCACAGCTTGCAATATAAGTCTGCAATCCGAATTATCTTAAATCCTTCACTAAATTTGCATGATTCCTTCCCTTTTCCTCGCTTTGTCTCATTTCAGTCCATATAAATCTATGTTGATTTTTCTGATTTACATGAATCAGCTGCATCAGCGGCTTTTAGGAAATTGTTTGATGTGTCAAATTCAAATTACGAAACAGTTTTCAATGTTTTGTCACGAAGACATCGTTACTCATCCTTCCAGTAAATTTATCTTGTTATTTAAACCAGAAAGAATCTGTATTCAACTTCATGCGAAAACGGAATTATCTTTTTTCACAGTTATTTTTTTTATTTAAATTCTACGTACTTGTCATTATTTCTGAGTGGTGGTATTTTAACAATTTACACAATTTACATAGATCCAAAAAGCATGGGACGTGGAATTAGAATAATCTATCCTTGTGAACTAAATAAAGGGTTAGTTTCGAAATTCCATTATATATCACATGAAGAAGGCCGGAGCGTACAACGGCCAAAACTTTGGGAATAAGGCAATAAGATGAGGAAAATAGTCCGAATGATGTAAATAGTGTTTCACGTACCTTTTATCCAAATTTATATGTAAAAGTATTGGAGTATAAGTGAAAGTATAATTTAGAAAATAGAAATTAAATTGATTTTAATTTAAAGAAAATTCAATTTAAATTATTATTATATTATCGCAAAAATGTTTTTTTCTTTTTCTTAGGGCTTTTATATTTCACTTACACAGATATGGGTTTAAACAGAGATAATCTATCTAACGTGAAATTTTTTAGATCACAACGATATATAAGAACTTCCGACATATATTCAAAACGTCGACATTCCATCTAGTTTTGGGAATTTCTAGGCAAAAGGATGTTTTTCGTAAAATATTTCTTTCATAGAAAAATAACACTCAAAAGATTCCTTTTCCAACACGCAAAAAAAAAATTCTTCGACATAATATTATTTTTAAAACACTGAGACAAAATAAAATAGCCACGAGTCAGTCATAAACGTTTTTCTTGAGCTTATATCATGGAATATTGATGATCAAGACGATTTTAACTCGATGCACGGTGGAGTAATGGATAGCGGCTAAGACTGAGGAATTGGGGAGCCGAGTTCGAGTCGGATCAATTATATTCATTTTTCAAAACCTCTGTTATTTTTCTTTATGAATCTAACAACGATCAATTCACGATATTCCTGTGTCGCAGGGTTCATCCATCATAATATTTGTCTTCTTATTCTTCTTCAAAATTAACTCTTTAATCAACTGCTACGTACTTTTACTAAATGAATTTACGTGCTTACGTAAGAATCATCTTATTATCCCACCAAACCGGGTTCTATAGCCTTGGATGGCAACTGGTCTATCACACATGGCATGAAAACATATATCAAGTCGGTATTTAATCACCTGCGAAGTAGTCCTCTTCTGAAGCCACACACGTTATCTTGTGTCGTTTTCGTTTAGGGAAGCATTCTTTGAACTCCTTGGAACTACATCGTCGCATTCTCTTGGATTTTCCCGACGTCTTGACATCTTGTTCCTTTCACGTGACATTTAATTTTTAGAAAGAGGAATAAGTTGCAAGAGGCGACATCTGGGGAATATGGTGCTTGTCGGACATTGGGAATTTTGTGCTTGGCTAGAAACTGCTGCACAAGCCAGGGTCACTGATGGAAACTGTATGGTGTGCTTCCCATACAGGCACTGCTACGAACAACGGAAGTAAGAGAGAACATTATAACTTAGTGCGCATGCGCGAGTTCAAGGTCAATCTATGTCAAACTTTTTGTCCCTGGATACTTTAGTTCGCTACCATAGCAACATATCCTGATACTTTTTGATGAGAACTTATATATCTTAATGAAAATATAAAGATACGTATAGCTCTAACAAATATAGATAAGTCAGTAAAAGTACGTAGCCGTTGATTAAAGTGTTAACTTTTGAAGAAGAATAAGCAGATAAATAATTTGATGGAAGAACCCTGAGATACAGGAAGATCGTGAACTGATCTGTGTTAGGATCATAAAGGAAAATACTAGAGGCTTTGTTGTTTCGAAAATGAAAATGGAAAAGCCCATGATTATGAAGATATTTATTTGTTAACCACCATTGCTTTCTAGACTATCATTCCATCTGTCAGCAAGCTTATAAATGCCATTCCTGTAAAATTCCTTAGATATGAATCCAACTCACTTCCAACCTCTTCTCTTGATGTCAACCTAAGACAATACAAATGATTCTGTAAAACCTTAAACAAGTGTTAATCAGAAGGATCAAGGTGAGGAGAATATGGCGGATGAAGCAGTATTTTCAAACCAAGCCCTCCCAAAAGATTTTTAGTCAGTCGAGCTGTGTGAACACGAGCTTTAAGGTGATGGATGATGAAACCCTTTCTGATCACTAAGGTTCGAAGCTATTTTCAAACGACGAATTTGATCACAGTACAGAAATTGTTTGATTGTTATTTAACAGTTTGCAATGGAAATTTTTTTTCAATATCCCGTCATACAATCACCATGATCTTCTTTATATGAAGTCCTCCTCTTGGTTGTTGAACTGATCTTCCTCCTCAACTGATCCACGATTGGCGGCGTTTAAGGTTATGGTAAAGCATCCAGTACTCATCACCTGTAAAAAACCTAGCTAAAAATGTTACCTGAAGGTATCATGAAAACAATGATTCAAAACAAACAACACGCTGCTGCAGATTATCTGAAGACAATTCGTGTGGGGCCCATTTCCTAACCAGTGAAATCTTTACAATTTAATTGCAGTGGCGCGGTCTACATAAAAGTAAATATATTAAGAAATGGACAAGGTCCGACAATTTATTTATTAAAGACATTTTATGTCTTTAATAAATAAATTGTCGGACCTTGTCCATTTCTTAATATATGACGTCATTTGTTTACATTTGATACGCCAGAGCAGTTATGAATGTACGAGATTCATGGAAGATTTAAGTTTATAAGCAGTAAATTCGACCTTGTCTACCGAAAAGGTTCTTTGTAGCCTAGAGGTAATGCACGTCAGCGTATATGACGGTTCCGTATACGATGCAGGTTCGAATCCTGTCAAAGAACGAATATTTTCTATGAAAATTTCTCCGACATTCAGGCCGGTAAATGTTATTTAATACTGTTTATCATAAACAGAGCATTTGCTTAAATACTTGTATCTATAAAATAACAACGTTAAACATAAAAATGTCTTTAATAAATGAAAGTTCCCTACAGGTAAGAGTTCCCTAGAGGTTGAGATTGCCTGTGACAACAGCTTCTAGTTCTTCAGAAGCAAGTTTCTTTGGACGACATTTTTTTTGCTCGTCTTTCAAACTGAAAACCTTACTTCCGAAACGGGAAAACCACCTCCTGCAACGTCTTTTATTCACTGCATCGTCTCCATAAGCGCCCTGGATATATTTTGCTGCTCTACTTGAATTGACATCTTTATGAAAATCATAAAGTATATGTCGAATGTGATCTTTAGATGGGACGAACATGGGTTCGAATACTGCGGAAGATCATGAAAAATATTTATAGAATATGTAAGAGAAATGTATAAATTACTTATTTTGATGTTCCTTAACTATAACGAGATGCACAAATTTCATAAATACTATATAAAAATTATTCTCAAAAATCAGATATTACATTTGCACCAACATAATATATATTCTTTTTTTGTGTGTCTTTTTTCGACGTTCTTTGTAACCGCTGAGCAAACTCCGCTATCATTTAAGTTGAGGACCCTATGTAAATATCTACGATACACAAAGTGTGGACTCATATCACTTTAGAACGTAAGTAGTTATGATAAGATCTTACACTTTTGGGTCGCATAAGTGTGTCTAGCACAGGTTTTTGAAGGGGTGTGATATCAAATTATATTTGTAGAAGATGGAATTCTTCCCCTGCGGGAAGTGCGATGTTATATCATACACGAAATTGGGCGCTTATGATGATCCAAGAAGGGGCCTTGAATTCCCGATTTTCGCCACGGGAGCAACATGGGGAGATCAAAAAGCCATTTCCTCAAACTCTATTTATTTTGGATATTAAAATTCAAGGTCTTCTTTTGCTCTTCTCTTTCTATTTTCTTTCTCTGTTTTTGTCTTGCAGTTTCTTTCTTTCCTTCATGATTTCTTTCTTGGCTTTCTTTTTCTACTTTTATTTCTTTTTCACCTTCTACATCTCTTGCTTTCTTTCTTTCTTGCTTACTTCCCGTCTCGTTAATATTTATTTTCTGCCTATTATTCTCTTATTTCTTTTCTTCTTGATTTCTTTCTTGTTTAGTTCCTCTAATTTTTTCTTCATTTATTTCTTTCGTTTTATTTCTGTTTTCTTTAATGTTATCTTTCTTGCTTTTCGTCTCGTTCATTATGTTTTCTTTCTTGCTTGCTTTCTGTTTTTCGTGCTGTCTTTCTTTATTTTATTTTGCTTTATTTTCCTTCTTTTTTCTTTTTCTATTATCTATTTATTCATTTTGGCACCTTGCTCCGTGTTTTCTTCCTTTACATATTTCTTTTAACTTTTCTTTGAATTTGACTAACCTTCCTTCCTTCCTTTCTTGACTAACCTTCCTTCCTTCCTTCCTTCCGAAGGATGGCAGGAAAGAAGGAAGGAAGGGTCCTTCCTTCTTTCCTGCCATCCTTCGTCCCTTCCTTACATCGTCCCTTCCTACCATACTCCCTTCCACACTTCCTTCCTTCCCTCACTCCCTCCCTCCCTTCCTTCAGAAATCAATCCCTCCCTCCCTCCCTCCTTTCTTCCTTTCCTTCCTTCCTTCCTTCCTTCCGTCCTTCCTTCCTTCCTTCCTTCCTTCCTTCCTTCCTTCGTCCCTTCCTTACTTCATCCCTTCCTACCATACTCCCTTCCACACTTCCTTCCTTCCCTCACTCCCTCCCTTCCTTCCTTCAGAAATCAATCTCTCCCTCCCTCCCTTCTTTTTTCCTTTCCTTCCTTCCTTCCTTCCTTCCTTACTTCGTCCCTTTCTACATTCCTCCCTTTCACACTTCCTTCCTTCCCTCCCTCCCTTCCTTTCTAAATCCCTCCCCTCCCTCCTTCCTTCCTTCCTTCCTTCCTTCCTAAATCTCCCTTCCTACCTCCTTCCCTTCCTTCCTTCCTTTCCTTCCTTCCTTCCTTCCTTCCTTCCTTCCTTCCTTCCTTCTATAGCTATTTTCTTCCGTCCGGCTGTACATACCATTTTCAATTACTGTCTCTTTTCTTAGTTTATTCATTCATTATTATCAATTTTTATTTTCTCTTTCACTTTCATTTTTTTTCGTTTCGTTTTTTCTTCTGTGTTTTAGTGTTTTCTGTCTTCATATCTTTCTTTCGTTCGTTCTTTCTTTCGTTATTTCTTTCATTCTTGCTAGCCTGCTTCCTTGCTTTATTTCATTCTTTTTCTTGCTTTCTGACTTGCTTGCTTTTTTCTTCCTTTATTATTTATTTATTTTCCACATCTTGTTGTGTTTTTTCTGTTATTTTACATATTCCTTTACTCTTTTCAATTGTATCTTTAAGTTGCTTTTTCCTCCTCCCTCCCTCCCTCCCTCCCTCCCTTCCTTCTATAGTTCCTTTCTTCTTCACTTCCGTTCGCCTGAACATGTTTTACAATATTATCACTTTTCTTATTTAGCCATTATTATTATGAATATTTCTTTTCTCTTTTACTTTCATTTAGCAGTTTCGTTTCGTTTCGTTTCGTTTCGTTTCGTTTCGTTTCGTTTTTTTTTTTCTTTCTTGTCTGCTTCCTTGCTTGATTTTTGCTTTCCGTTATTATTTATTTTCCACATCTTGCTGTGTCTTTTCTCAATTTGCATATTTCTTTCCTCCTTTATATTGTTTAAGTTGCTTTTCCTTCCTTCCTTCCTTCCTTCCTTCCTTCCTTCCTTCCTTCCTCCCTTCCTTCCTTTCTTCCGTCCGTCTGTCTGTACATACCAATTTTTATTGCTATTTCTTTCCTTATTTGTTCATTAATTATTATTAATACTTCCGTATAAGAAACCCGGATATAAGAGACCGGATATAAGAAAAACCTGTTTTATCTGGTCCCAAATTAGAGCCTGTGTTAATTATATAAAATAGACCAAACCCGGATATAAGAGAAACCCGGGTATTTTTCTTTCCCAAATTATTTGTTCATTAATAAATAGACCAAACCCGATATAAGAGAAACCCGGATTAAGAGATTTTCTCTGGTCCCAAATTAGAGCCTGTGTTAATGTATATAAATAGACCAAACCCGGATATAAGAGAAACCCGGATATAAGAGAGATTTTCTCTGATATGTGTTAATGTATAAAATAGACCAAACCCGGATATAAGAGAAACCCGGGTATAAAGAGATTTTCTGGTCCCAAATTAGAGCCTGTGTTAATGTATATAAAATAGACCAAACCCGGATATAAGAGAAACCCGATATAAGAGAGATTTTCTCTGGTCCCAAATTAGAGCCTGTGTTAATGTATATAAATAGACCAAACCGGATATAAGAGAAACCCGGATATAAGAGAGATTTTCTGGTCCCGAATTAGAGCCTGTGTTAATGTATATAAAATAGACCAAACCCGGATATAAGAGAAACCCGGATATAAGAGAGATTTTCTCTGGTCCCAAATTAGAGCCTGTGTTAATGTATATAAAATAGACCAAACCCGGATATAAGAGAAACCCGGATATAAGAGAGATTTTCTCTGGTCCCGAATTAGAGCCTGTGTTAATATATAAAATAGACCAAACCCGGATATAAGAGAAACCCGGATATAAGAGAGATTTTCTCTGGTCCCAAATTAAGCCTGTGTTAATGTATATAAAATAGCCCAAACCCGGATATAAGAGAAACCCGGATATAAGAGATTTTCTAATTAAAATAAAATAGACCAAACCCGGATATAAGAGAAACCCGGATATAAGACAGATTTTCTATGGTCCCAAATTAGAGCCTGTGTTAATGTATATAAAATAGACCAAACCCGGATATAAGAGAAACCCGGGTATAAGAGAGATTTTCTCTTGTCCCAAATTAGAGCCTGTGTTATATAAAATAGAAAACCCGGATATAAGAGAAACCCGGGTATAAGAGAGATTTTCTCTGGTCCCAAATTAGAGCCTGTGTTAATGTATATAAAATAGACCAAACCCGGATATAAAAAACCCGGGTATAAGAGAGATTTTCTCTGGTCCCAAATTAGAACCTGTGTTAATGTATATAAAATAGACCAAACCCGGATATAAGAGAAACCCGGATATAAGAGATTTTCTCTGGTCCCAAATTAGAGCCTGTTTTAATGTATATAAAATAGACCAAACCCGGATATAAGAGAAACCCGGATATAAGAGAGATTTTCTCTGGTCCCAAATTAGAGCCTGTGTTAATGGATATAAAATAGACCAAACCCGGAAATAAGAGAAGCCCGGATATAAGAGAGATTTTCTCTGGTCCCAAATTAGAGCCTGTGCTAATATATATAAAATAGACCAAACCCGGATATAAGAGAAACCCGGATATAAGAGACTTTCCTGTCCCGACAACTCTCTTACATCCGGGTTACACTGTATGTCTTTTCTCTTTCTCATTCATTTTGCTCTTTAGTTTCTTTGCCTTTTCTTTTTATCTTTTTCTTTTACGTAAATATAGTTATTTCTCGGTTCCTTTAGACTTTATTCTCTTGGTGTCTTTTTTATTATTCTTTTCACAAGAAACTGGAAGATCAGTGGAAGAAGTTATGTCGGGTGAAGGGTGAATGGACACAAGGCATTTTTGCTTTACTTGCTTAGACTGCAAAAGCAACACCGACTATATATCCTGCCAAAGAAAAAAAAAAAAGCCCGCTCGACTGAGTCCCTGATGGATTGAGGACCAAACAGGAGTCGCGATTTTTAAATGACTGTCGACAGAACTTTGCCATAATTCTAGTCAGGAAAAGCAGGAATGAAAATCGAACGGATTTGATCCCGAAAAATGACTTGAAAAGATCAGATATATAAAATATAAGTAACACAGATAAAATATAGCAAATATAAAAAAAGTAAGAAGTAAAATAAAAGTAAAATAAAAGTGAAAAAATTTTTCAATGAAAAGATTAAAGAAATATATCAAAACGTAAATGAAAAGATGGCTAAAGAAAATAAAATAAAAATATAAATAAAAATAAATAAAATTAATATATATATATATATATATATATATATATATATATATATATATATATATATATATATAATATTTTATTTCGTAAAATCGAAAAAAAAAATACCACGGCTAAGTAATTTATTAATTATCATTTGGTCTGATATTACATTGAACTCTCGACTTATATCGTCCCTGAATTATCCATACAGACTAACAATTAAATTATTTTAACTCAATTTAATTTAAAAAAATATTGAAGTTTTCGGCTTTTGTTTTGAAACATGGGACTTCTTATGTCGCGATTTGGAATCATATTTTTAAATAAATAATTATATATATATATATACCATTGAACTCTTCCATTGCGGATTTTTTATAAAGAATCCAACTTGTGATGGAAACTTTTTCCGTCTTGGCCATCCATACATCTCAAGAATCTAACAGGTCCAAGCAGCCTTCTCTTTGCAAATTGTTTGCTAACTTGCTGTTCTGCGCTTTAATTTATAAAATTCATTCATGTCACCCATGACAGACTTTTTTTTTTTTTTCCTCATAATCTAAATTCCCCGTTAACAGTTCTGACGAACAAACCGGACTTCTTATTTTAAACTTATCATGGCCTGCAATACAACATTTTAGTTTTTAATGCCTTAATACGCTTTTGTGTACCGTTTCTAACCTATTTAAATATATATATATATATATATAAATCAAATTTTTTTCTAAAATAAATTACTGATAAAACTTAAATGAAAATGAAATATGTTAAATTTATAAAACTTTCATATTTGGTTCTAATTCTATCATATATATATATATATATATATATATATATATATATATATATATATATATATGTGTGTGTGTGTGTGTGTGTGTGTGTGTGTGTGTTGTAAAAAGTGTGTGTATATAAATATAAATATATACATATATATGTATATGTAAAGAGTGTATCTTTCCCCGATAGAGAAAAATCTATCTCTGGCTAGCATTCCTCAATTTGGGAAAACCCAAGACTCGCCTTTTCCTGTTCTGGAATATTTCCTCGCTTTCGACATAGTAGATGAATCTGGGCCATTTGAATCTGGAGTCCTAAACATTGCTTCTCCACAACACAAAAGTATCCCTATGTTATATGTAAGACCCTTCCTTTTTGTTTCTCCTTACAAACTACTTTACTTTGTAGATATATTGTTTTCTGCGTAGGACACGTGTATATACGTATGTATATATAGTTTTGCGCATGTCATAGTATTATAAATGTCTAACTCAGAATAGAGCATATTTGTCATTCCTTTTCCTTTTAGTCATTTCGTGTTGTTCGTGAAGTTCGTGTTATTATAACACGGACATGTTAATGGCGATATCTTGGGCAGTACAAATCGGAGAATATAAATCTTTCTTCTATAGTTCTCTCATGTTACAGTATTTTTTTTTTTTACTAGGGGTTTAATATATATACAACAGTTATAATTTCTAACTTTGGAAATATACTGTTATGTAGGAATAAAGTGTCGCTGCCAACACCTGAGTTTGAACATAGATCGCCAGTCAGGAAACAAAAGCGATCCCATTATTGAGTTAAGTTGACCACGTGACCAAAGAGGAAACGCATATAGTGATTTTCCAAGCGTAGATTAGATGTGGCACAAGGCTGAAAGTATGGGAGACCCAGTGAGGAAACGCATACATTTAGGAAGTAGCTGACGACTAACGATCGCTATATTCTAATCTGTCCTCTATACTATTCGGATCTCTATTTCTAATCTATCCTCTATTACTATACGGACCGCTATTCTCTATTCTATTCACTATACTATTCCTCTATTCGGATGCCTATAGGGATTACTCTTCGAGTGAGTATAATCAAGCAAGCACTATTAGTGCGAGTTCATTTCAAAGGCCTCTGACACCAGTATAAATCAACAGCCTACTATAGTTTTATGTGCGATTGAAAATGCTATACCGAAGTGACAACTAGTATTCGTTGGTATTATAGAAGTGGCAACGAGCGTTTGTCAGCATCATAACCATATACTGTTATTGTCGTTCTTACTTTCTTGCTTGTAGTATTCTTTCTGTTATGGTCCAGGTCCTTGTACCGCGGTGATGGTCAAAGGTAGAATCAATAAAGAAGAACTCGAACACGGATATGGAATAACACAGATATATTACAAACAGGAATATATACAGAGAAGTAGAAAGTGTTAGTACGAACAATCAGGTTTAGTAGAGAGAACAAATTAGTCTTGATTAGTATCACTGTTCCAATGTCTTGTAGTAATTGTCTGAACGCGACTCTGTTCAGGACTGCCTTTAACTCGACTGACTGACTCCTGACGGACTTCTGACGGACCTCACTCCAGACTTCAGACTGAACGGTATTTAGTCACCAACACCCACGAGGGCATCATGTGACACAAGGCCGGTTTAACGTGGGATTTCCGAGCCCGTGGGCTCGGCCAAAACTATGCTCTTTGATCCCGTATAAACGGGTTCAGGGTCGGTTTACCTCCCCGAAAGAGACTCCGCCCTTCGGCGTAGCCTCGTTCGGGTTCCTCCCCGCCCGAAGGCAGAGTTCAACCGATCAGCCGGTCGCCCGACTTCGGACCGAACGGTATTTAGTCACCCCAGCCCCACACACGAGGGCATCATGTGACACAAGGACGGTTTAACGTGGGATCTCCGAGCCCTTGGGGCCGGCCAAAAATATGCCCTTTGAACCCGTATAAACGGGTTCAGGGTCGGTTTACCTCCCCGAAAGAGACTCCGCCCTTCGGCGTAGCCTCGTTCGGGTTCCTCCCCGCAGAGAGTTCAACCGATCAGCCGATCAGCAGGTCGCCCGACTTCGGACT